ACATGAAGGCACCCCAGAACGGACTGGAGACAGCTGAACAGAGGCGGTGACGTACTCACCGTGCTCGACGTGGTCACAAGGAGGAGGAAGAGCTACGTCTGGAGGGACAGGGAAGCAATCGACCTGCTACTGAATGGAAATGTGCGAACATTCGATGCTGGGTTAGCTAGAATGTCATACCGAACGAGCAGTGCTCCTAGACTTATACGTAGTCAAGAGCGAAGTGCGGCTAAAACACGGCCCCGTCTAGTCTTTTTTAGCAGATTTTTTTTCTTTGGTTTTTTATGACAGGGGTCGCTGCACGTTTTGGTTAAGGGGCCAGATTGGGGATCTATCGCAGTCTCGAGGGACGGAACATACATAAGAAAATATAAATGAGGAACTGGAAAATAAATAATCCGTGATAAGTATTTAAATACAATATGAATAGCTAAAGTAAAATAAAAGAAGAATCTAAGGTGGATGAATGATGAATGCATATACTTTACTTTGAAATTCAATATTATGCTAATTATTACGTTGCACAATACTCGGGTCCGATAAAACTCACCGAACGCAAGACAAACTGCAATGAAACTTTGGCATATTCAAACGAGGCAGAAGACTAATGATAGAACAGATGTTGTCAATCTGTAATAGTTACGACGGGGGACACTAAGCGCAATATACGGAGAACGTAAAGGAATTTACACGTATACGTAGTTAGATGTATAACATGCCTAAATATGGTGACGCTGGTGATGACAGTATCCCACTATTAATATGGTGAGAGGTTTCGCGTTGCGATAGGCAGTTTCCTGAAGAGAGTATCGTAAAGAGAGAAACGAGACAAGGTGTTTCGGAGCCGTGGCTAAGCAGGTTGTCTTTTGAGGCAGTTTTCTCTCGTCCTTTCTGGTATCTTGGGTTGCACGGTTGGTGCGCGTCGCGCCAACGTTTCCTTACTCGCGCCTATTTGTGCCCCGATAGCAGCGGGCCTGCTGCAAGTGGGTTTGGGTTTGGGCTTCATCGGTCATAAGTCAGAAGTCTTCCGCGGATTTGGCCTGGAGGCCGGGGTTTGGGGACCCCTTTTGGCCGTTAAAATTGGTGCAAAACTATACACCGATTGAAGTGGTGTATAATTTAGCGCCAGTTTTTACAGAGAGCCAACCGTCGCTTCCTCGAAACCAATAACAAAGCACGGATTAAGTTCCGGGAAGGCCACGCGACATCGCAGCACTGCAGAGAGGTCGGGCTATCCGCGCTACGCATTCTTGCGAGTAAAGGAGAACTCCGTGAAACGAATATGTGGTGTACACCCGATCAACTTCGCCCAGCGGCACACTCCCTTTACAGGCTGATTCGGACGCCACGTACGGAGAGGAGCGAACGCAGACGGACAACATTTGTCGCTTTGTTCGCTCCGTGCAGTTAAACCATTATGCTTTAGTAGGAGCTATCCTCTACCTAACCGCCCTGTTTTTCTTCATTGAAACGAGGCAGACGGACTGTCTGCTTTTTATGTGATCTTTTTTTTTTTTTCTGAGGGGGGGAGGGGGGCGCCTCTCCTTTTGGCGAGAAACGAGCCAGTGCAGGCTGCGAATGCACGCTTTGATTGCAGTATTTCAAAGAACGTGGCTTTTGGTCTGCTCAAAACCCGATTTTTATCGCAGTAAACAAAGGCGGCGCGCGGAAGGCGAAATAATATTAAAATATTTTGTATCGTACCACTCGCGACATATATTTTGGCATCAGTCGATAAGGCTAAGAATGCGCTCTACGCAGTCTGATTTGTGACCGAAAGTTCGTAGGTGGGAACCCAGAGGAACAGCATGCAGCCGCGACCACGGGTGGAGCTTTCAGTGTCCGAGCAGTTGTGACCGAATCCATATTCTCGTAAAAGAAGCTACGGTAAAAGGAGTGGCGTCGCACGTAATGGCGTGTGTTCTAGTGTTCCGGGAACCGTGATACTCGAGGCGCATTCAGAAAGCAAGTTTCATTCGCGCATGAGTCCCTCCAGAGTATTCACTTCTGAGGCACGCACGGGCAGTAGGGTTCTCACATCTATTCAGTCACACCCTGACGCCATTTTTTTAGACCGATTACACTCTAAAAAAAGTTTGTGCGTCTGCTTTCACGCACAAGAGCCAATCAGCGCAACTTACGGAGGCAGCTCAGCGAATGACGATGCCGAAACATATGTTTAGACCAAAACACGCAGTCTGAGTTGTGACATTAAGCAATGCAAAACGTCACGCTTGCATTGCTTAATGTCACAACTCAGACTGCGTGTTTTGGTCTAAACATATGTTTCGGCATCGTCATTCGCTGAGCTGCCTCCGTAAGTTGCGGTGATTGGCTCTCTGAAGGTTGTACGGGAAAGCAGACTCAGGGGCTTTTTTTAGAGTGTACCTCCTTCGCACTAATCCTGTTAAAGTCAATGTAACGATCTGCCCAGGTCTGTTATAACATGTCTTTAGTAAGCGATTGCTCGACAGTGTTCTTATTGAGCCATATTTCGATTTAATGCGACAATCGTCGAAACATTCGGACGATGAAAGATACGTCGTGAAATACGTCATTTATAGTAAAAACACGATGAGCGAAGGAAGGGTGCGGAATCGAATTCGAATGGCTGATGACAGCGACAGATCGTTCAGTTTCAGAAATCGGGGGTGTAGCCCTTACACCTCTTTCTCGCAAATATAACACGCCAAAACTAGAATCCGACGTTCAGCCCACTGACGTCCAACTGACGATACCAACTTTTACGAGCGGCTTGATAGCAGTGTGATATAACTTACTAAATAGCTAATGTAGATATCAGAAAGTGCAGAAAAAAGAAAACAGGTTTTGCAGCAAGGCCAAGAAAACTTGAGTGTTTTCCCGTAGTTTTTAACGCGTCCATTAGCTAGTTTAATACGTTGTACCACTGGACTATCAAGCTGGTATAGGCGGTTCGACGTCAATGGAATGAGCGCCGGAATGTAGTTTTCGAGTTTTATATATGGGATAAGGGGTATAAGTACTATACCCTGTATTTTTGAGCGTATTCACGATGCAGTGCGGATCAGTAGGCTTTCTCTGGTCATAAAAAAAAAGGTAATTTAAAAACAAAATTCTGGAAAACCGACACTTTCCATCTTCTGACCTCGAAGCACATTTCAATGAAATTCATCATTTCACGAAATAGTTACAAAACATTTCAGGTGCACAAAATGTCTTCACGGTGTGTGCGAAAAGCGAAAGCTCGCGCTGCACAACCCAGGGGTTCAATCTCCACCTTTGCCGGTTTCGATCTGGATGAGCATCGTACCGGCGTGCGGTCGTGTATCCCTACTGCGTGGTGCACGTTAAAGACTCCAGGCTAGCGGTTGTACCGCACTGGCTAAATTGCTCATCTACAGCTGAGACGCCAGACGCCCACCGAGGCAGACTAACTTCCGGCTGGATAAACACACACACAACAATGTTTGCTTGTTTTGTGTGCCAAAATGTTGGCTGAAGACTCAGGCTGCAGAGCTCTACGAAAACGATGTCTAAAAATTTTGGCCCCAATATAAGGAACACTTTAGCATCGAAGAAGATGACGTAGAGTCGTAAATTGCGGCGTGCAAAGCAGATTAAACCTAAAGCATCTCACACGCGTACCTTTATTCTTTCAAAACGGTCCTTCCTATCTAGACGCATCAAGTGCAAACGTATCTCTGCCCGACGATCGTTTATATCGCTCGCTCGTGAAGCGTAAGAAAAAACAAAAAATGTCGAGTAAAGCGAATGCCTTTGCGCGCCTATTTTGCGCGGTATTTTTTCACGAATGCCCGTTCGCTATCAACGTCACCGTCGATTGGTACTACCTTGAACGCCCATGCCAAGCTCCTCTACGAACTGTTCGTAGCCACTCTGCCGTATAGACTTTTTATGGCGACACGGTCTACTAAAACTCTCCACTGGCGAGGTTTCAGGGCAGATCCCAAGGTGTGTTTCGTGTGGGGCCACGAAATGTAGCAGGGATCCCAGTGTCATGTCACACTGTAACGCCACAGTGACGTCATGTGTCATCATAATTTTCCCCGCTAAATTTATCCGGAAAATTTATCCGCTAAATGTATCGAAAAGCTTCTACCCATTAAGTTTAGCGGGAAACCAACGCGTGACGTCACGTGTGCAGCAGAATGTGGAGTGCCTCGGCCGCAGTTCGTGTGCAGGACATGGAACGGGGAATGTTTTCGCTTACTTTCGGCTCCAGCATGGAAAGACAGGTTATGTCTGTAATAGCGGAATGCTCTGCACTGGGGTAAGAAACTAAACCCCGTAAAAAAACAGAAAAAAAATAAATACTAGAGGTGCGGCGAAATAAGAACGCGGGACATTCACACTCAAAGGCCCCTTACTCCGGCGGTTTCACGAGTTACAAAAACTAAGTATGTTTACATTTTCGGAATACCCGAACTTTTCTACTCCCGCCATGCTTTTCCGAATCCATAAACTAGAAAAAATTTTAGAATTCTACACCCTTTCCAGTCGCCTGTCGTCATACTTGCAGGTCGAGCAAGCGGTCTGAACACCGAGGTACATCGCGCATGTATATCGTTCTGCTGAAGTGAGCTTTCGCAGAATTTATCTTGCGCCGTCCAGCTTGTAACGTGTCGGGAACAAGTTATACACTTTTCAACACCAACATCTCGTCACTTATTATGTAATACTAATTATAGATCCATTCGGGAAAAAACGGTGAGGAAAAATTTTAGATTTCCTTAAATTCGCGAAACAAAATATTTTGACGTATTCTTCGGGTTTCTGGCTCAACCATTCCCATTTAAATGTTCGACCAATTTCGAGAAAAATCAGTAACCACTAACCACCGAAATAATCGCCTCGGATCACACACCAATGGCGAGGCTAGATTAAAACGGTGTTTTCGCCCCTGCAGGAAGTATCGCCATTCAAGATGGCGACGGCTGTCTCTTTAGCCAGGCTGCGTCGTCCTGCCGGGTCTCACTGGGTGTCTCTGTTCCGCGCAGGTGCGATCGTCTCGAGCGTCGGCCGTCGTGATGTGAGACGGCGCGCTGGCGTCCGCATGGCGCTCGACGCGCGCTCCTCGGCGCCGCTGCGCACGGCACTCACGCTGCTGGTCCTCTGCGCACGCGGTGCGACTCCCTCGGCGCTCTCCCTGGGATCTTGGATGTGAGTACCCCTCGGATCCCGTTGGGCTCCATTACACCACACTTAGACTCTATCTCACGAGTTGGGCGCAGCAGAGGCGAAAGCACAGGCGCGAGCGTGTGGCTTTTCAGACTTGCCTTTCTTTCACGAGCAGTGCCGAAAGGAAAGGAAATTTAAAATCCTCGTGCCCGACGCCTGTGCCTTTGCCCTTGCTGCACACAACTCCTGAGATAGAGTATTTGCGGTGAGAAGCTCGCTAGGGGCGCTTCTGTTTCCCTTACTATGGGTACTGCCCGTGCTACCCACGCGGTTACGTATTACTTTTCATGGTGCACAGAAGCTTGGCATTGCACGTGCTTGCACCAGCAGAAGCATTTGAAGTATCCTCACTCTGGGTTGTGAAAAAATTTCACCAGGCGGCGACACCCGAACATCTCGCCGCGAATACAATTGTTATGTTGTTCGTGATTGTAGATGGAATGAATCACGCGAGACACCTGAATGCGTTAGGGACATATTTGATGTATAATAAAAGAGAAGAATAGAGAAGCGTATTCGCAACTTTCACGACCTATAGGTTGCGCACTGGTGCCTATCAAAATGGCTGTAATCTGGATGATCGTTGTAGAACAGCAGTACGAGGCGGGGTCTGCGACGCGTAAGTAATTCTAGTTTTGTTATGTACGAGCAGTATTAAAGCCCTACTTAATTTTTTCACGTCAGGAAGGTGTAGGCTAGCAACTTTATTCTAAAGTCTATCATCCAGGAGCTAGGGAGCGCAAGTCTCACACCGCGGTACCACCATCGCTGAAAGTTGCGAATTTACGCGGGACTTTTTACACGAGTCTATTTAATACTAGTGAACGGGCGTCTGTTGGTGAGATTCGAATTGGAGCAGCACACGGGCTGGAAAGAGTCCGCGACAGTTGGCTTCGTGTTGATAACGGCAACTTGACGGGGGTGTCGAAGATGCCAGTTTTCGGGGGGTCAAACAGCTGGAGTGCGATGAAGTCGTCGGAGCCATGTAGAGGCGGTGTTTTGTGTTGCTAATGGCCTCCCGCGCAGTCGAGTCGACCTCTGGACAGGTTGGGAGGTAGCAACGATCAGCCTCTCGGTCCTGGGAGACCCCAACGGAGGTCGGAGCTGCGGCTCCGAACTCCGTCGCTGCCCGAATCTTTCGGCACACCGTCCCCGCTCACGCGCACTTCTCGCGTAGCTCTTAGTTCTCTTCTTTTGTCATCCTCCGGGAACGACTATGAAGGCCCGTTCACACTCTTGCGACCTCTTAAACCTGGGTTCCTTAAAACTTCTTAAACCAGAAAACACACTGGCGCCATCTATTGGAAGCAGTGTAAACTCGGCGGTCCGGCATATTTTTTTTTTTATTTCTCGCGCATTATCCTTTCTTTCTTGGCTCGAAAAACTTTTGTCATTGTTATAAACGAGCCTTTCTATGGGTATTACGCACATTTGACCTGGGAAATCCCGCAAAACCTTCGCTCTTGTGAAATGCAGTTCCAGGGTCACCGCATAGATGGCGCCACAATGCCAGTGTGTTCGCTCATTCTAAGACATTTAAGAAGTTTTAAGAGATCTCGTCTCTCTCAGTCGTACTCGGTCGCAAGAGTGTGAACGGGCCTTGACAACAACGCTGTCAAAACTACCGGCGCGTGAACGTTGCTTCATTCAATACCTGGTTTTCACGAGAACAGGCGAAATTCCAACGCTAAATGCGGACTCAGTCTTGCACCACTAGTGAGGGCAGCTTTGACAGCGTTGTGCACTAAAGCCTGGTTCAGGCAGTTGCGTTATTTGCGTCCAGAGCGACCGAAACGACAGCAACGGCATAGTCACCGGGAAAAGTGCTCGTCGTACACAACGAGCCAAGCAATGCAAAAAGTACTTTCGAGAAGTTATTATGAGTCGCGGTTGTCCTGGTCTTACGGTTGTTGCTAGTGTTACAAAGAAAGATAAACGTTGATTGCACGGGCCGTTTACAGGTGGCGCTGGCGGCGCATAAGGACAATATAGATTTCATAAAGTCATTGGGTTTTAGAGACAGCGAAGGGAGAGTGGATTTCAAGACTAGAGATTACCAAGCAAAGATTAAGTGAATGGTGGCAGAAATCGAGAGAAAACTAGGTATTTTCTTATTTACTGATGGCAAGGGGGTTTCATAGCCTCATTTTCTTTCCACTGCTGCGTGAATATAGATTTCACATTTAAATATTCTAAGCTTAAATGTAAAACAAAATGGCTAGGTGGCGTAAGCTACCGCCCGATCCAAAAGGCTCAGCCGTATTCATCCATCCATCCATCGTGTAGTGTAGTCGGTGGTTACTATAGACGGCGCAAGAAGCGATTCGGATCCGAGCGGACGTATTGGCGGCAATTCTTCCGGAGGCGTGCGAAGCTAAGCGCATTTGGTGTTTCCTTCGTAGATTTTGCTCTAGCGTGCATGAAATAGTTTGCATAGAATTAGGGAAGCACTAGGATCTAAAGTAAGGCTAGTTTAGGACGCGGGGGGCCACTGGCAAGTGAGGCTAGCGTAGAGCTTTGTTTGGATTTTTGGTGGACTTTTCTTTTCTTCTAGCGTGCATCGAGTAGTTTGCATAGATTTTAGGAACCGCTAAGATAGGGAGTTAGGTTAGTTTAGGTCGCTGGCAGACCACTAGCAGACCGCTAAGAATGACATGACTGCTGATCCCATCTTCGATCATTCTAGGGGGAGCTCCTTGTTGTTCGAGGCGGGGACGGGAGCCTTGCGGACTAAGACATAAAGAGCTAGATGTCAGGAAGTAGATACGGCGTGTGGAGCTTGTAAGCGGACGAGGAGACGGCTGAGCACTTGATAAACTTGATACTGTAGTGGGCTTCACCCTGTAGTAACTGAAGAGGCGACAAATTTGACAAACGCGCTGTGATTTAGTGATAGTGAGGAAAAAAATAGACACGGGGAAGGTGGAAATAATAACCAAGAAGAGATGATCTGACTGGTGGCATAGGTCGAGGGAAAGATGAATGAATATTTTCATATACCCTCCCGGGCGACCGGTAGACCCGTGCGCCTCCGCCGCACGAATTGTAATATTTAAATAGTAAATATCTAGAGATATTTACGTTAAATAAATGTTAGCCAAAAAAAAAAAAAAATAAAACTTGCTAGGTCGCGGAAGCCGCCGCCTGATTCAAAAGGTTCAGCGTCGATCTATTCATCCATCCATCCATCCTCTCTTCTTTACCCTGTCTCAGTTACCCTCTAGCCCCCCGGTGACTTGTGGGGAAGACCTACTTTTGGGCAGGGAGAGCCCTTATGGGGAGACGCCCATCGCTGAGATATCAGCGGATGTTAGTCAGCTAGTGCGCTGGCTCGCGGGAGGAAAGTCGAAGCAAGACCCGCCTGAAAATCCAACCGAGAGCAAGCGTAGATATGTGAACCCGTCGCCGCCGCCACCGCCTCTGGACGCACGGACAGTAGGGTCCCACGAGCCGGTGTCGAATCCGTCTATTTCTTTTGGGCGGTTTTGATCGCAGGTAGCTTTGCCGAGGCACGGCCCGCTTTTTAGCTCCCCGATCGGGCCACCCTCTTAGGACACGTTACTAACCCTGTCGGATGCTCTGGACGCAACCGACTCTAAACCGCAACCTGCCAACGCACTGAGCGATCCCAAGACGCCGTTTTGTCGATCGCTGACCTGAAGTTCCAAGCTGGAGCTGAAAAGAACAGTCTACTCCTAGAAACCGAGAGTTTATCGAAAGGCACATTCACCGGAACCTGTTTCCTTCGAATGAGGCGCGCATGCCACGTACTACGACAAACAGCGCCTCATTGCAACATGCATGACTCGCTCTGTAGCCGGCCGAGCGCTCGTGCAGTGACGCGAAGCTAAGCGCCGCCCAGTGAGAACACGTCCAGAGGTCTTCAGCGAGAAGGTATCGAGGAGGCCGAACAATAGCAGGCACCCGCGGCCTCCTCCTCCCCGATGGCCGGCGAGAACGACCCGAGAACACGCGCTTGCTTGTAGCTCCGGCACGTCCACAATAGCCTCCGCCGCCGCCCAGAAGCCCCCAAACGGGTCTGCACGCCGACCGCACAAAGGCCGCGGCGAGAGAGGAACGCGCCACTTCGCAGTCGGGGGCCGATGCATCATTCGGCCACGCACTTCCCTCGCCGGCCGACGGAAGGCAGAGCGGGTCTGGCTTCGCTCGCCGCCAGCGGGCGAATTAATTGTTGCCCGCGCCGTCCTGGACAGCCGGCGTCCTTCTCGCAGCGGCCAAATTGCCCGCGCGATTGCGGCGAAAGAAGACTGCCCTCGAGGAAGACTACAGCCGCGCCGTATTCGGGGCGATCCGTAACTCTGCCGAACGAGCTTCGGGAGCAGTTTGGAAAATCTTTAGAAATAATCACTTAGCTATTTGCGACCCACTGCCAAAATATGCCAAGGATCGATCGTGGGAAACGTTCGAAAATGTGTCGCCGGAGGAATGAATCGATCTTACGACCAATCAGGTCGGGCTAAGTGGGAGAGCCCTGCCGCTTTCCGAACTATTTCGCATTTTCAAAATTGTTCGCGGACATGGTTATCAACTGCACATAGTGGCCAGCAGGATTTAAGAGGCATAATAAAACTGTATTTTGCTGCTCCTTCGCGTTTTGAGTAGCAAAGCACCTCGAAAAGGGCTCCTCCTTGTTAGGCAACTGGAAGTTTAACGGAAATGCTGGCACGGCCCGTGCAATGCCGGCTATCCATTGTTTCGACTATGCTCTGTTCACCCCAGAACCGCATTCGCAAAGCCGTTGCGAACGCGTTTGCTTAAAGAAGCGGTACAAATTTACGCGCATTTGATGACGAAACCGATCGGATCCGCTTAGCGTTTGCGATTCGAAGGTTAGTGTGAATGCGGCATAAAACTGATACGAGAAGCTCCGCCCTCAGCGCGAGCTTTCTGCCCTTGCAAACACAAGTGTGAACGCGCAGGGACGCGCAACCAAAGCACTTCGGAATCCAGCGAGCTCGCGC